TTCTTATTTCAAATTTTGTGAACTCCCTTTCATAAGTTCTCCAATTGTAAAATTTATTCCATACTTCACAATACTCTAATTTATCTTGTTTCTTCGATTCTAGTGTCAATCTGTCCATTTGGGTGCATTGTAATATCTTGTCGATTGTAACATCTTCACTAGGAATTTCATTTGCTTTCCAAATTTTGCGCGAATACGATTCTACCCTCTGAATTTTGATCCCGGGGATGCCATAAGTGTGAAAAACTATCCTAAGTCACTTTCTTCAGTGCCACTGTAACTCCAAACCGTCACTAAACGAATGTTTGTAAATCAAGGATGGCCATTATACGCTATCCGAGGTTTAGCGATCGCCCTGCTCCAAGGTCCATGTTCAAAAGTTTGTTCTGTCAACACAAGGATACACAAGTGTGCAATCCTGCATCACACTCACCGGGAAGTGTGCCGCAAGACGTCGGCAGCTCCTTCAGGAACTGAACGGTCATCTCCAAAATATCGGCTTTCTCCAGTTTCGAATAGCAGGAATTCTGGAGTGGAACGGAGAAAAAAAATATTATTTTTTGGTTGAGATGCAAAATGACACACGCCACAAATACGTTGCCAAGAAGTCCGTGCAGAGAACGGAAAGATTAGGGACTCGGCATACGAGTTGTGCCCAAGCTGGCATGGCAGGTAGTCCTCGGCTTAACGATCACAATCAAGCCCAAAATTTCTGTCGCTGAGCAAGTGGTTGAGTGAGTTTTGCTCCATTTTAAGACCTCTCTTGCCAGGGCTGTTAAGTGAGTGAATCCCTGCAAAAGGGTCCCTGGTGGTCTCTGAGCTTGAGTGGGAGGTTTCCTGGCAGACATTTCATGACCCAACTAGGTAACATCATCAGTGCTTAGAAGGGAGGGAGGTTGGCTCTCAGTTGATATACAGCTCTTTCTACCACTGATGATGTTAGCTGGTTGAGTCACGAAACGTCTGCGAGAAAGCAATCAAGCTCAGAGAGCTTCAAGGACCCCACTTCTCCTCTTCTTCCTCTCCTTTCTAGCGCTGATGATGTTCCCTAGTTGGGTCAGGAAACGTCTGCCAGAAAACTCCCAAACTCAGAGAACATGATGACCCCATAGTCCTCCTCCTCCCCCCCCCCGTCTTCCTCCTCCTCCTCCTCCTCCTCCTCCTCCTCCTCCTCCTCCACCAGCCTTCCCTTCTTCTAGTACTGATGATGTTCGCTAGTTGGGTCATGAAACGTCTGCGAGAGAAAGCAATCCAGCTCAGAGAGCCCCCAATGCTCTCCTTTCTTGGCCACCGTAGTAGAGTCGAGCGCTCTGCCCCTCCCGGATCCCGGCGGGGAAGGGGGCCCTCAATCCTTTCCCGCCAGCCAGGGGGCGTCTGGCGTGGGGAGGGGGCGTCTCCACTCACGTCTTTGCCCACCAGGGGAAGGATGAGCGTCTTGAGCTGGCCAAGGCTGCCGTTGATGCGCGCTCGGCGGCGCTTCTCCATCAGCGGCTTCAGGTTCTGCGGGGAGGGGGGGAGAGAGGGGAGGGGTCAGTCCGACGGCCGGGCCCGGTCAGGCGAAGGGGGCAAGGGACGCGCGGCTGGGCCTCCCCCGCTCCGGCTCACCTTCCGCAGCTCGGAAGCCTCCCCGGTTTTCCTTCCTGGACTCATCCCGCCTGCTAACTCGCAACAGCCCGACGGCAGAGGCGACTGCTGGCCCTGCCCCGCCCGACGGGGGCCTTTTATACCCTCCTGGCCCCGCCCACTTGGAATGCCGGGGCCGCCCCGCCCCTTCAGGGCCAGCGCCGCCTGGCCCGCGGAACTCGCCGCCACTTTGCCAAGCGGGGCTGGCTGGCTGGCTGGCTGGCTGGCGCTGGGTGGCCCCGGAGGGGCAAGTTGGCCTCTGCTGCCGGTGGAATGCCGGGCCAGATCGGTTGGCCAGGTTGCGGGAGGGCCAAGGGGGGGGGGGGGGTTGCCCGTGGGGGGGGGGGGGGGAGGAAATGGAAGAGAAATCTGAAAATAATACTGAGGAAGAGAGAAGAAAAAAATGGGAAGAAAGATATGGAAAGAGAGGCACATAAAAGAAAAGGAGAAAGAAGAAGAAGAAGAAGAAGAAGAAGAAGAAGAAGAAGAAGAAGAAGAAGAAGGAGGAGGAGG